TGAATAATTTAAATAAATTACATATCATCACTAATAATAATAACTGTTTAATAATAATAACAAAAAAGTTAAAAATTAAGAAATATTTCGGTCTTGTGAGAGAAATGAAGGAAATTATACCATTTATAATCTTAGATGTTGAAAAGGAAATCCTCAAAAGAATCAAATCCATCCGTTCTAAAATATTACTGAAAATACCTACAAGACAGTGCAGAAGTACTCAGGACGCTTGGTGCCACTTGATCTCCACAGACCACTACTACTTTCTCTTGGTGGAAATACCAAAAAACAACTTCTAGATTTTTTTTTCTGTCTTAAGAGACAGTGAGCTCAATTAGAAAAGAAGACAGTGCAGTCGTGCGAAATCATTGAAATCGACAATTTAATCACATCAAGAAATTGTGTGTGTGTGTGTGTATAATATATATATATATATATAATGTGCAATATGTGTGTGTAACATATATATATATATGTGTGTGTAACGTGTGGGTGTGTAATATATGTGTGTAATATATAAATGTGTGTGTAATATATATATATATATATATATATATATATATATATATATATTTGTCTGAATCTCGACCGTGTGTAGTCTGAACAAATCACTGTATAATAATAATAAAAAAAAATGTGCTCTGTTAGAAACAAAGAAACGAGTACTGAACTGCTGTGTAATCTGAATCCTCCTCTATGGCAATGAATGTTGAACATTTTTCTCGCAGATCTGTGATTTTTGAAAAGGATGTTGGTGATGCCATAGTCGAAACCCCTAGGCAGAGTGGAATTATTGAAGAAAATTTGCACTAAAAGGACACAAATAAATAAAATAAGGAAACCGCTGAAATTTCTGAAGCACTTTAGGAAAGAGGGATTGGTGACTTTAACACTCGCAGGACGTGTTGAAGACAGGAGAGGCAATGAGTTCGTGTGAAAGAATAACAGATTGGAGGCAGTAAAGCAATGCTTGGAACTATAGGTGACAAGAAGTTGCGGAGATCCATTTATGCAACCCCCCCCAAAAAAAAACAACCTGAAAACTATTCATGTTCTTAAATGGAATCGTCAGATCGAAATCTTCATATGGATGTTACGCAAGGCGCCAAACGCGTTCAAAAATATCTAAACTGTCAACTCTGTACAACCGCTTTCTAAGATCAATGTTGATAAAAGTCTTTGAGGTTTTTGGCAAAGATTATCCTTCTTTGAAATCTGTACTGTGGCTACAGAATCACAAAAAAAAAAACTGTACCAAATAACAGAAACCCCGTCACTTGAGGACTACCAAGAGCAGAAGTAACTAAATTGTATAGCACATGTAATTCGAATAGGGAACAAAAACTTAATCAAGATGTTGATTTTGCACATCACTTCAAATAAAAGGTTAAAAATAACCCCCACCATCAATGGTGGGATGAACAATTACAGCTAGTGGACTTGATAAACCGATTTTCCTGAAAAATTGTTTGAAAAAGATTTTTATAAATTTCAACCGAAAAGAAGTACTTGTTTCTCTGTCTATGAATGCCAAATGTTTTCTTGTAGGGAAACGGCTATATATTTCTATGACCGTCAACATTCTGAAGAAATACAACATATAAAAAGGTTCTGGTGTAAGAGCTAATCTCACTAGGTATTGAGAGTAATATTCTTCAATGTTTGCCTTTATAAAGTTTGGGATGCGTTGCAAATTTTGTCGTTTTTATCTCTTCTATTCCTGTCTATCAATCTGAGTCTGTAAATTTTCTTTTGAAACTATATACGTAAATTTTTCTTTTTATTAGAGTGTTCATATTTTGAATACCTATTTGGTCTGTACCCAATGGAACAAAAACGCGACTAGATGTTTTGCTCATGAAATGACAACTGACAAACACGCATTTCATGGGCATTTAAAATCATGCCCAGGCAGCGATCACCCTGAGCCAGTAACTTTTTCATGAGGGATGGTTAAGGTCATTCCCTGGAGCCTGGGGAAAATAAAGAAAATGCCGAGATGGTTTGGGCATTTTTTTCCTTAGTCACGCTGGGATGTCACTTTAAACACGACCTTGTGCTGGATTTCGTCCGGGTGGGCATAGATAAATCCCATCCGTTTTACATCTCTGGTCTTGCCGGAATACTTATTAGTGGTTTAATAACTGTACTTAACTCCAAGTAGTACCTCTCCCAATGTGGAAGGCGAGGATTATGACGTTCCAATGGAGAAACGTGTAGGATGCTTCAAAAATTCTTTCGTTCCATATACGCGTGCCTATAAATTCATTTTCCTGTCATACTCAGTTCGCGTACGCGTGTGAAAAAAGGCACCTGACACCGGTGGTTACAAGTAAATACAGTCCCGGTTAGTCTCGGAAAAGACTTGCTAGTGAAATGATGAGTTTTAATAAAGACATAGTGTCTCCGCGAGTTGGCATCATTGGAGATATTTTGAAGGTCAAAAGATTAGCTTGTTTTATTACGTCTGTTATTTAAAGTACTAAATCTAATCAGCGTCTTTTTATGTTGTTATTTGCCCTTAGCTACACTAATTGAGTATATTTTATTTTCTATCATTATTCATCGATCTGAACAAAAGTGACCAAGAAACTAATTGATTCACTAAAAACAGATGGACGGGCGAATGGCGTAGCGTTTATTTGGCACAGAAATGGAACAGTCGCTCTAAGTTCAATGTCCAGTCGAGGCTGTTTTGTTTTTGTTTTGTTTTTTGTTTTTTGTTTTTTTGTTTTTGTTTTTTTTGTTTTTGTTTTTTGTTTTTGTTTTTTTTTTTTTTTTTTTTTTTTTTTTTTTTTTTTTTTTGTTTTTGTTTTTTTTGTTTTTTGGGGGGGGTTTTGGGTTTTTTTTGTTTTTTGGGTTTTTTTTTTTTGTTTCTTTTTTGTTTTTGTTTTTTCTTTTTTCTTTTAGCAATAATTTCCTTTTTAAACGGCATGAATCCCATAAAGAAAACCAATTTAGGAGAAGGAAAATTCTAGAACAAAACCATGGAGAGTGCACTTCACTAGCTTACCTAATAACAATCATAGCAATTCAGATAATACAGAAAAGGGAAGATGTGGATAACCATAATTATCTATGTCCTAAATTAATTTTTTAAAGCCATATTTCTCATGACGTAGGGGATCCCGACTCTCCACAGATTCCGTTTTGTTTTTTTATCTTTGAATTGCCATGACTTCTTGTTAAAGGTAGTGGAGTGGTTTCCCTGTTTCTTTCTCCCCCGTTTTGAATTCAGATTTGTCCTCCTTCTTCTAGATTTTTTTTTTTTTATCATTTCACTTCAAGTAAAGCAATTGGGCTGCTAAGATGCAAGGTGTTACTGGGTGTTAGAGAATATGATGAAAAAATACTAAGAGAAAAATAAAAGAACAAGAATTAAGACAGAAGATATCGATTAACATAATCCAGAAAATTTCCCCAAGCACAAAGAGCGATAGAAGAAAGTGTTAGCTTAGAACTGATGGTTACATTATAGCCAATTCAACTGTAAAATGAGGAGACCTTGCCGCCAATCTAGTACAACGCGTAAATTCATCCAGTCGAGTTCATCAGAACAATTACAAAGAAATATTTAGAGAAAAGGCAGAGGGAAGCTACACTACGGCGGTGGTAAAGTGAATGAAACGAAGTCAGGACAAATAGCATTACAGATTTTTATTTGAATTTTATAAATAATCTCTAAATATATAGCAGGAGCACCAGACAGTATGTAGCGGCAATATTTAAAGCAAGGACGAACCCACCAAACGTTAAAAAGTCTATTTATTCCGCGAGTTAGTCCATAGTTTTGAGGCGACAAGATAGATTCATACCCTTCCCAAGGGCCGTAAGACGAAAGTTAGTACAACAGGCTAAGCTTGAATTCGAACTCGGCTCGGTGATTCTGAACAGATAACTGTTACGCTACAGCACACTCCGCACTAATAATGCATTAAAAAAAGGAAAATATAGGCTCAGCTTTTTGTCGGTATCGTTGCTCAGAACTGTATATCCGACGATGTTAATGATCGGTGTTTGAATCCAATTAAAAGCTAGGATTTTGAGCGCTGATCATCTCTGCAAGCATGCCTTCTTCACGTGAATAAGATAACATAACAACTTGCTGTCTTCACTTTTCAGTCTTAATAATGTCCAAAAGCGTTTCCACGTCCGTGTGGATGACGAAACATTTTTCACCATACAACCCTTTTCTCGCAGCCTGAGATAAACCACATTCTTTAGTTCCACCAGTTCTAACGTTCACAGCTAAGACCCGCCATACTAAGAACATTGTAACAAACCACCCTCATTTATTTCATATTCCATTGGTGAGATGTATGTTTCACTCGAGCTGCTTCTTCCTACGAACCGCTGTTTTGTGGAAGAGATTCCCGATCATTATAGTCTTAACCTGTAAATGCCTCACCTGCACAGAAATTAAAACAGAAATCTGAATTCGTTTTTCTAGTTTTATAAGAAGTGGCAGTGTGTTGCCACAACAAAAATGTACAGCTATGGCTCTTCTTTCTGGGTAAAACTTTTTGAACGAGACTCGTATAAGAGCATATGAAAGGAGGTAGGGGTAACGTCAGAAATCTTTGGCTATCATTTCAAGATAGTTTGGTACTTGTCCGCAAAGAGAAGAGGGGCTGATTTTTGCTGTCCTTCTATCTTAATTACTACCCATCCCGATTCATTCATATAAAAGTTTTCTATATACAACAAAAAATGCATTTTTCCTATTCAGATTGCTTCGCCATTAAAATACACCATGAGACCCTACTTAAAAAAGTCAATAAAGAATTTTCACATGTTATGTGTATGGTGGAGAGGAGACAAAATCCTCAAATTTATCTGCTGTCAACAGATGTTAAACGTCAACTGCATTTCTGGAAGTGGAGTTAGACCACGCCCCAAATAAGCCACCTACCAGATAAATGCTTGCAGACTCTAGTAAAGACTATCAGTGTTTACTTGTATATGTATCGTTTATCTGGATACACAAATAAAATTCAGGCTTACGGCCATATCACATTGAAACAGATTCCCGTACTATCATCGAAGTTAAGCAACGTCGGGCTTGATCAGTACATAAATGAGTGACCGCTTGGTAATGCCTGGTGCTGTAAGCCTAGATGTGCGGATGGTTTAATGGAAAATAGCTCAGAATTGTTAATAAGAGATTAACGGTTCAAATTCCTGTTGGGGTCGTCATATTCACTTAGGCGTAAATACCTTGGAAAAGATATCAATCTAACTCCCCCTCCCCACTACCTATGTGTTAGCTACTAAGACTTGTAACTAAACGATTATCCAAGAAAATTCTTACATTATAAAAAAAAATATTTTCTGGCTTTAAATAACCTGCAAAGTGTTGTTAAGCCGTAGAAGACGAATAAATCAACCAAGTAAAATTTAAACGAAAACTGATTTCTACACTAAACAACCCAACCCAAATTTACGAACAAAATCAAAGGTGAGATTTAGTGTGGTTCCGACTTTGCTCATCATTTGGGAAATGTTGATAATGTTTTGTATGGGTTCCCCTTTAGAAATAAGTGGGAGGTGTGGTTGAAAATATTACGATAGGTGTTTCAGTGTCCCTTCTATCGATATATTTGGTTCCCTAGACGATTTCTGATTTTTTTTTTCACCAAAGTCACCGTTGATAGCGGGTAGAGTTTAGACTATGGACGAGATTAAAGTCTGAGAACAAGATAAGAAAATGATGGCAATCCCAGAAGAGTTGGTTGAAGACTCTTTTGAACAGTGTAGGTTTGGTTTGGTTTGTTTTACCGCATATAGTGGCATAGCTAAATTTTTTGCCACCTGTGTAGCCACTGAGTTTGCCGTCCCTTGCCCCCGTAAAAATAAATATTGCACAGTGATTCATTCTTAAAGTTATAAAACTAATTTTTGTACCATTATAAAGTTGCTTTCACATACTCAAATATAGTATGCTTTAAATACGTACCAAACATCTTTTCTTTTTATGTGCTATGTCCTTTCAGGGTGTAGGCGATCATGGCTTCTCGCCTCTCTCTATCCCTTGCAGCTCTCAACAAGTTCCTTCCCTCAGCTACCTCTCCCAGACCACGTTCTGTTATCCACTTGCTTCTCGCTAAGTATGTCATGCGTTGTTTTCCCTTGTCTCTCATTCCCTCTATTCGACACGTGAGTATCAGATTTTCCAGACCCTCCTGCCTCATTATGTCACCCAGCTGCGTCTTCCTGCTGTTAAGTATAAGCCTCTTCCTTGTTTTGCATCCTCTCTAAGACCTCATTGTTGTTCATACGATTGGTTCAAGATATCCTTAGCATCCTTCTGTGGAACCACATCTCCGACGCCTCCAGACTCTTCTTCATCTTTGAGGAAATATCCAACATTTGCTGCCGTAAAGAAGAACAGATATCACGTAATAGCTCAATATTCTTACTTTACTTACTTCTTTACGGTACGTTACTGTTTACATGTATGATCCAAGACAAAATCCAATACCACAAAATAATCAGTTCCAATCAAAAGCTATTGCTATTTTTCCTACTCACAAATTTCCCGACAATTTATTAGAAAATTTCTGACGGGGGAACAAAACTGGGGGTCATAAATTATTTCTGGAGGGTCATATGCCAGCCTGCGAAACCCTGTGTCTCCACCACTGTTTTCAGACTATTTTTGGAACCTTAGCCTGGTTGAAAATTTTTTTTCGGGTTGATATTGTGTCACCCCTCCTGTGCTGGCACCCGGGGCGGTCCGCCCCTATTAGCTACGCCACTGGTCCCAATCCGTCTACGGATCTCAGTGTCGTACTTATCGTTCTCTGTCAAAACGTTTAAAGTATTCTAAATCGAAAAGATCCTTAACTGTGAATACTGTCTGGACATTAAAACCACTTTTATTTCAATACAACTTACAGCCTACAGCAGGCACAAAAAAAACCGCCCCCATAACAGTACCGCGCTATCTAGCTACGCTCCTGGCCACATATCAACCTTTTCCAGGTTTTTTAAAGGAAAACACTATTGATTTGTGTTATATAAGAATAAAGTGTCACTACCGACAATTGTTTGAACATGTATCGCCAATGAGCAGGCGATCCCATTATTGAATTAAGTAGACCACGTGACCATAGAGAAAACGCATGAGTAGGAATTAGCTTGACGACTAACGATCTCCATTTCTATTCTATCCTCTATTACTATTCGGATCTCTCTTTCCAGTCTATTCACTATACTATTCCTCTATACAGATCACTATTCGAGCGAGTACTATCAGTGCGAGTGTTGTTCGAAGACGTCTGACACCAGTATTGTTCAACGGCGTTAATATAGTTGTATCTGCGATTACAAAGTCTCTACTACAACGAGCACTACGAAATGACAACGAATATTCTTTGACATCACAAAAGTGGCAACGGATGTTCGTTAACATCAAAAAAATTTGATAACGTATAGATAGGTAAATGTAGTTCCGGTTTACACGAGTTAAACTAGAGCGCCACTGCTTTAGTCAATGTTAACGACTGGATACTTTCTGTGCAAACACATGAGTCTTGAGGAGTGTAACTTAAGTTGTGGAACACCATTATTGGCTGAAACGTTCACTAAGTATCTAACCTATAACGCAGGTGAATCAATCGGTGATATTAGCTTGTTAACCATTGGTGAATTGTGAAGTAGCAACAGGTAAAAATTCTGGACTAGTGTTGCGGGCCGGTGTACACGTTGAGAGATAAACACGTCTCTCCTGAAATGCCCACAACAAACATAGCGGACTCGGGATGTGAGTCCACGAAAAGAAATGTGAAAAAATAACAAGAACAGATATATATGTATAAACAAATGATAATATATTAACGACAAAGACAATAATGTGTGTGTAACAAATGAATGTGGAAGCTTTTTGATCCAAAGTATATGAAGAGAGTGAATGTCCTTGCGTACGTACGTACGTGCGTATATATATATATATATATATATATATATATATATTTAGTTAGTTAGTTAGACAGCCTTCCCTGACGATCCGCTTAGGAGAAACCTTGGTAGGTTTGTCTGGCTCTCTAGGTTTAACTAGGTCTGCTCTACTTAGCGTATCGAGCACTTTATTTACTTATTTTGCTCACTCGTATCGGTTTTTTTTCTTTGAACTTTGGACTTGCATGCTAGACGATTACTTTCGGCTAACGTACATGTTCTTGGGTCTTTCTTTTTTTATACCTTTTTCCCGTTTGGTATTGGTTTGATTATTTGCAAATCAAGACACCGAAAGTTTTCGAACAGTATAATTTCTCATACTTATAAGATTATTACTACTATTATATATATATATATATATATATATATATATATATATATATATATATATATATATATATATATATTGTTCATTTTCCCAAAAGAGAATACGTTATAATCGCGTTCTTCCGCGAGAACGTTACATGTTGAAGTAAAAAAGGCTGCGAATAATTACCAATATTTAGAGAACCAGAAAGCGTCCCCTAGTAGCAGTTTTGAAAATTAGGAGGCAGTAATCCGACAGTACATTAGCAAGAAATGTATACATTTTAATTATTATTTTCTTTATGCAAGGAAGTTAATTCCTCAATAGTCATATTGATGGGTGCAACACTGGGTTGCCAGCTTAAGTTGAAAGGCCCAGAAAATAGCATTCTTTATGAGATTCTTAAGTTTAGTCCCAGCGGGTCACCCCCAACAGGTAACACCACTACCATAGAGGAGGGCAGCAGTTAATCCCTGGCACCTGAGAGGAAATATTGAAGATGAGAGACAATTTTTTAATCACTGGAATCAGGGTGGGGCAACGGTCTCACTGGGCCCCCACTCTACTGCATCTCAATTTTCCTAAGGTACTATTCATATAAAATGCAAATTTTATTGTTACCTAATTATGTACAATAATGGATTACATGCAATATAGGTGGACAATTCAAATAGAAAAATTGAAAATAAATACGCTCAGTTATATGACATACGTGATAAATAATTGACGAAGCAGATTTTTCCCGCAGTAGGCTGTAGTAGACCAGTTGCCATCCACAGCTATAGAACCCGGTATGTCCTGCTATTTACTCTTAGGGTATTAGCACGTAAGTGAATGTAATGGATTCGACTGGAATTCGAACTCGGCTCTCCGATTTCATGAATCCGATCCGCTCCACTGTATATCTAAATACAATTTAGAGACATATCATAATAGTTCATTCCATTTTAAATGAATCAATGTGTTGCGGTAATTTTTAACATCAATTTGAGATTTTTCTTAAAATTTGAATAGTTTTAATACATTCAATATTATGGATAAAAAATAGTGAATTTTATATCGTGTTTTTCGAGACTTAGCACAAGGAAAACAAATTCATGGATCTGGACGAGTAAAAAAAGACCCCTATTTTAATAGTCAGTTGTGCTTAGTTTAATTTGTAACTGATATAAATGTATGTAGAAAAAAAAAGCAAATGTTGATAAGATAGTTTCGTCCCAACTGATCTTGTGCTTTAAGCATCAGCTTAAAGTCAAGATTAAGACGGAAAGGCGGCGTCTCACCTCATCAGAATTCAGCAAAAGGTGGGTGAATCTTGCGCGTTTGTGTCGTGTAAAAGGGGCTGACCTGGAGTGGCATTTTGATGCCGGTTAGGCATCAGGATATTGTTTTCCTGGGTTGAACTTGGGCAACCCTTCCCTGGTTTAGGTTATAAGTTAGGTTTTTGATGCTTTAGTTTTTTTCTTTACTTTTCCAGTTAACTTAGGTAGGGTGTGTTTGCTCATTGGCCCCTTTTATTTGTCCCCTTTTTTCCTTTAGTTTAACTTCCCATCCTCCTCCCTCGTTAGGTGGTTAGTGATTTCAGTTCTCTGGTGGATGCGGGGTGCCTTTCATTTCGCGTGTGTGCTTTTCGTATTTGTTGTTGTGGCAGAATGAGTGCATGTCTGTGTGAGTGGTTGGGATGAATGAATGCTTTTCTATTTTCTTAAAGCTCCGCATCGATTTCGTCCAGTTAATTGAATTTTCTGCCACAATTAAGGTTTGTGGGGTTTTTTTTTTATTACTAACACGATTTTGTTTAGTTTCTTGTAAATAGTTTATTACCATACTGTATATATATATATCAT